TCAAGAACGTGGATTCTGTTTCAGTTGAATCAACCCAACTCATAGGAGTTGTTGAATAAATACGAAGCTCAAACTTGACACTAGTGGACCCACCAGCCTCAAGTTTTCTCCTTGATGATCTATCCGCTACAGTTGTTGATTCCAAGCTAGATGGACATTCATCTTGTTCAACTGAATTGAATGAAGTTTCAAAAGTGGTTGTAAGTGACTCATCAGAGATTGATGATGTATCACCATCAAATCCAATGGTGGTGTCATGTGTAGTTATAGAATATTGGCACATGGTTGGGCTCAACGTTGAGGGCGAATCAGTAGTAGGACCTGAAGTGGCACTGTTGGGGCCTGAAGTAGTTGGCAAGGTAGTAGTTGGGCTTCCCGTGCTGGGGGCAGCAGTTGTTGGTCCTGCCGTGCTGGGGCTGACAGTTGTGGGAACTCCCGTGCTTGGGCTAACCGTTGTGGGGACTCCTGTACTCGGGCTCGCTGTACTGGGACTATCAGTTGTTGGACCTCCGGTGCTGGGACTATCGGTTGAGGGGGTACCGGTGCTAGGACTCACGGTGGACGGACCAGCTGTGCTGGGCACTTGAGTCGTGGGACCGGCGGTGGTCGGACTCTGGGTTGTGGGAACAAGAGTCGTGGGGGACAGCGTGGTGGGGGTGGCGCTGGGCTCGCCAACGGGCACCGTGGGAGACAAGGTGCTGGGGCTGGCCGTTGTCGGACTGGCACTGGTGGGGCTCACCGTACTTGGTGACAAGGTAGTTGGGACCACAGTGCTCGGGCCGGTGGTAGTAGGGCCTCCCGTGCTGGGACCTGCAGTGCTGGGCATTCCGGTGCTGGGGCTCGCCGTGCTGGGCGAAAGGGTCGTTGGGCTTCCCGTGCTGGGGCCCAACGTACTCGGGCCAGCAGTGGTCGGGCCTGATGTACTGGGCGACAAGGTACTGGGCGTTCCCGTGCTGGGGCTCAGAGTGGTCGGACCGGAGGTGCTGGGGCTCACAGTGGTTGGACCGGAGGTGCTGGGCTTGCCGTGCTGGGCGACAGTGTAGTTGGGCTTCCTGTGCTCGGGCGGCAGTTGTGGGACTTCCGTGCTTGGGCTGGCAGTTGTGGACTTCCAGTGCTCGGGGCGGCAGTTGTTGGGCGCCGGTGCTTGGGCTGTCGTGTGGAACACCGGTACTGGCTCACAGTTGTGGGAACACCAGTACTCGGGCTCACCTGTGTGGGGCCAACTGTCGTTGGACTACCGGTGCTTGGACTCTGAGTTGAGGGAATACCAGTGCTCGGACTCTCAGTCGAGGGGCTACAGTGCTCGGCCTCAGTCGAGGGCTACCAGTGCTCGGGCTCTCAGTTGTGGGACCAAGAGTTGTGGGGGACAGCGTGGTGGGGGTGGCGCTGGGCTCGCCAACGGCACCGTGGGAGCCAAGGTGCTTGCGGGGCTTGCTGTTGGGGGCTGGCGGTGGTGGGGCCTGCAGTGCTGGGCGACTGGGTGGTAGGCATTCCCGTGCTGGGGCTCACAGTGCTGGGCGACAAGGTGTTGGGCTTCCAGTGCTGGGCCCAATGTTGTTGGGGACAGTGTGGTGGGTGAGAGGGTAGTTGGAGTTGTGCTGGGGGAGTGGCTTGGGTTAGAGCTGGGATTTATACTAGGCTCTCCTGTTGGAGGTTTACTTGGGCTGTGACTTGGTGAAGAGCTGGGTTGTGCACTTGGGTCCAAACTTGGACTTGCACTAGGGGGGGTAATTGGACTTGCACTGGGTGTTGAACTGGGTGTTCCAGTTGGGTCTGAAGTGGGAGTCGCACTTGTTGATTTGGTTGGAGTTTGGCTGGGTGATCCTGTTGGTGGTTGGCTAGGTCCATCGCTGGGCGAAGAACTCTCAAAGCTTGGGCCATCACTGGGATATTGGGATGGACCTCCGCTGGACACTGCACTTGGTGCTTCTGAAGGGGATAGGCTGGTGCTGGTGGAGTCCCCGCCACTAGGGCCCGTCATATTGGATGGTGTTTGGGTGGGGCTTGCAGTTGTGGGGCTTGCAGTACTTGAATTCTGATTGCTGGAAAGCACAGTGGGAAGTATGGTGGGCTCTCTAATTGTTTCATTGGGAGACACAGTGGCTGGGTTCGTGGGGATTTCACTACCACCGATTGTCCCATTTGTTGACATGACAGTTGGGCCTCCAGTGAATGGGCTGGCAGTACTCGAATTCTGACTGCTAGGACTTGACGTTGCATTAGACAGAAGGATGGGGCTGGCAGTGAGGCTGGCAGTTGGCTCACCAACAGTCACATTGGGAGCCACAGTGGCTGGGCCAGTGGCATTCAATGATGCAGCTGTTGGGCTTCTAGGAATGGCAGTGGTGGAATTCTGATTGTTGGGACTTGAAGTTGTAGGGCCGATGGGACTTGCACTACTAGAATTTTGACTGATGGGACTTGCAGTTGTGTTAGACAGTGTGGCAGGGATTGAGGAACTGGCACTGCTGGAATTCTGACTTATGGGACTCTCAGTTACATTGGATACTGTTGCCGGACCAATGGGACTTATGCTGCTGGAATTCTGACCATTGGGACCTGCAGTTGTATTGGACAGTGTGGTAAGGCTGGTGGGGCTGATGCTGCTCGAATTCTGACTGTTGGGACTTGCAGTTGTATTGGTCGGTGCAACAGGGCTGGCACTGCTTGAATTCTGGGTGTTGGGACTTGCAGTCGTGTTGGTCAGTGCAACAGGGCTGACACTGCTTGAATTCTGACTGTTTGGACTTGTAGTTCTATTGGTCAGCGCAACAGGGCTGGCACTGCTTGAATTCTGACTGACGGGACTAGATGTCATATTGGACACAATGGTTGGGCTTGCAGCGTTCTGGTTGTTGGGACTAGTAGTTGTGTTTGACAGAGAACTGTTGCTGCCAGTTGGCTCACCCAGAGTCACATTGGCATGTACAGCGGAGGGACTGTTGTAATTTACACTGGTAGGGCCAGCACCAACATTGGGGCTAGACGTAATGTTTGATGTCGCAATGGGTGTAGGGCTTGTGGTCACTTCCTCTTCCACTTGGACTGCAGATATCCCTAATGGTTGTACTTCATTGTTGAAAGCATTCAAGAAAGAAGCCTTTGTACTGTCACTTTCAATCCATCCTTGCACTGTTGTAGAATTTGTTTGCACTTCAAATTGAACCTGTGTGACAACGGAAGCTTGAAGTTTCCTCCGTGCCGATCGTGCTGCTACCCGTGTAGAAAGAAGTGCTGGTGGGCAGTGTGTGAAGGCTAATGTGCCATATGCATTTTCAAATGCTGTGGCGAGTTGAGGGTCTGTGACTGGGGTTGTGTCACCATCAAAGTTGACCAATGTCCTTGTGGTTGTTGTTATGTATGTGCATGCACTGCCATCCAATGTGCTGTCTGAGGTTCCATCAGGGGTTTCATCAGGTGTTGCATCCAGGGTGTCATCAGGGGTGGTGTCAATAGTTGTCTCCAAGGTGGAATCAGTTGATTCTTCTGGTGTGGCATCTGGCGTGGCATCTGGCGTGGCATCTGGGGTGACATCTGGTGTGGCATCTGGTGTGGCATCTGGGGTGTTGTCTGCAGTTGGCTCATTTGTATGTTGAGGTGTCTGCTCTGCTGAGTTGTCAGATGTGATCTCTTGTGTTGGCTCTGGTGTGACTTCCACTGTAGAATCAGGAGTCACCTCAGGAGTTGCTTGTTCCGTGATTTCCTGAGTAGATTCCTGTGTTCCTTCAACTGTTGCAGCTTGAGATCCCTGGACAGTGTTGGCAACGGTATCCTCATTTGTGGGTTCAAGTGTAATGCCTTGTTCAGATGTGCCAGGAGAAACAGCGGGGGCCCTATTTGCATCCTCGACTGTTGGAGCCTCTGCTTCGACTTCAGCTGGTACAGGAATTTTAGTAGCAGCACCATTCAATGAAGGCATTGGTCCAGCTCCAGCAGATAGAGGACTTTCACTTGCACCTGGCAATATAGTTCCAGGTGATACTGATGAGCTTGGAGTCCCAAGTATACTACCAACAGTTGGGCCACCAGCCGTAATCGCAGAGGGTACAGATGGCGCCGGCACTCCCGTAGCCAATGAAGGCATGGGATCACCACTTGCAGCAGACAAGGGACTTAGGCTTGCACCTGGTGCCAGTGCTGCAGGTGAAATTGATGAACTGGGAGTCCCAGCACCACCCGCAACAGATGGGAAACTTGCTGATGGCACTGATGGGCCGATAGCCAATGGACTATGGCTTGCACCTGGTGCCAGTGATCCAGGTGCTAATGATGAACTGGGAGCCCCTGCAATCGATGGGGTACCAGCTGTGTTTACAGATGGCACAGATGGTGCAGCTATCCCTGTACTCAACGATGGCAAAGTTTCACCAGTTACCCCGGAAAAAGGACTCAGGCTTGCACTAGGTGCAAGTGCTGCAGGTGAAGCTGATAAACTGGGAGCCCCAGCAACACTGGCAAGAGTTGGGGCCCCAACGACTGTTGCTGAGGGCACTGAAGGACTAGTCCCACCAGACACAGGACTCTGGTCTGTCTCTGGGCCCATGACACTTGAAGTAGACGGACCCACTGGTGCCCCATTCAGGCTCTCAGTCGATGTAGCTTCCTCAAGTTCACCACTGGTGGTTCCAGGAGGCAGCTCACCTGCATCTTCTCTTGCCGCGGAGCTAGCATCATCATCAGTTACAACAAAGTCATCAGTGCCACCGCTGAAGCTTGTATCATCATCCACGTCAGACGCAACATCATCGTCTTTTGTATCATCGTTCACGTTCGATGCATCATCACCGTTGTCTATGTACTGCTCTGAATCAGAGCCCCTTTCAGAAGTAGATGACATAGCGTTGTCATCATCTTGAACAGAGTTGCCACCAGAATCTGGCCCATTGCCCCCAGATGTGTCAGCATCACTGTCACTGCCGCTGCCGCCGCCATTACCGCCACCACTGCCACCCTCGCCAGTGTCTGATCCAGATTCACCACCACTTCCACCACTTCCTGATGCAGCTGAATCGTCATCGAAAGAAGAGCCAAAAGCAGCTGCTACTCCATAATCTGGCTCGGAAATTCCATCATCGGTGGTGGACGAAGCATATTCAGAGCTTCCATCCCCTTGTACTGATGGTGATGAACTGGGGCTTTCAGTCACTTGCAACGAAGGTCTGCTGGATGGTGCACTTGATGGGGCATGTGTTGGTTTGACAGTAGGAGACAATGTTGGTTTCAGAGAGAGTCTATCTCTTTCTCTATCCTCCACCTCTTTGGCATCAACAACAATTGGGTCCCCTTCTTCCACAGCTTCATTGAGGACATTCATCAACTCAGGTAACAACTCTTGGCACTCTAGCTGTCCTGGGCTAGCAAGGCAATCAGCAAGTGTCTGCGAATCAAAATCATCACTGTTGAGAACTGTTTGGCAAAACTTGGAACTTTGGCCTCCTCCTGAGGATGATGTGTTGGTGCATTGTTCGATTGACTGTTCGAAGGCCACCAACTCATGAGTCACAAATGGAGTACGGATAGTCCCATTACTGGCTTCCACATCATGTTGGAACTGTTCGATTTCTTCCTCAAATATGGTACTGACTGTTGATGTAGAGTTAATGCCGCCATCCAAGGTAGATTTTGTTGCACCAAATATAACTTTCATGATATTTGTACCATTCCCTGGAGGAGGCTGCAAGTAGATGACATTGCCATATTGGTCTCTGATGATGCGGCCACTCAAAACGGGTTCGAGGTTGTATCCAAACATGGCTGCAAACAAAGCAAAGAATTGATCCAGATCGTAAAGCATCTGAGGCAGCTCATCTCCATCTTCCTCGCCAGCTAGTTCCCGGAGTTCTCGAAGCTTCCTTTGTACTCGATCAAAGAATTCCTTGTCTTGATACTCTGGACTGCAGAGGTCTGATAGCCTTAAGCGCCTCCTACCTCGAACTGTTTCATCGTCCAGCTCTCCAGGTTCAAAAAGGGGCTCGTGATCAGGACATCCATCACAAGCCACATGAGCAGACCAATGAGTCGTGGTGATACTTGCATCAATGACAAGTTGTTTCTCAGCCTGTGTTGTTGTATTGCTTTCAAGAATCAAGTAATCAGATTCATTTCCATACTGGACTGACCATTCTTCGATAAATGCATCATGCATGACACGCTTGAATGGGTCAAGACACATTCCCTACAACAAGAAAAAACCAAGGGTCAGATTAAATGCCACTTGTGCCACACAAAAAACAGCATATTCTGGACACACCGTGATCGAATTGTAAATATCTGCAAGATGTTCAAGACAAAGAGGGAGCAATACATGTGAGGAAGGGAAGACAAGACAACTCGACAGCACACTGTTGCAGCATAAGGTACACACCGCGAAACACCTTTGGGAGGATGAAAACAAAACAACAACAACAAAGGAAGGCAACGGAACAGCCGTGAGTGCATATTCAGATTGTGACATCACAATGGGATAGGATCTTGACACAACATCACCACTCACATATTCCAAGTCAAACTTTCTGGCTGGGAGAGCTGAGGGAGGCATTCCTTGAATCTGCAGCTCTACGAATCCCTCCTTTAGAACCTGTGTGTCTTCACAAATGGGTGGAATGAAATCATCTGAAAAGGTATTTGAGGGTGTTACCATCACCACAGAAGAGGATACTGCGGCTGCCGTTACAGCAGCCATGCCAATGGCAGTTCCAACTTGAGATACAGTAGCAGTGGCTAAGAGGGTCACAAGGAAAGCATGAGGATTGAACCAAACACAACCTGCATGTAGTGTGAAATGACTGCCTTCTAGAACCTACCAGCTGCAGAAGCCATACCAGCAGCAGCAGTTGAGGCCCCAGCTCCTGCGGCTGCACCACTTCAGGTTAAGAAAAAATATACGCATGAGGTTGGATCCACAAGCAAGGCTTTCAAAACAAGAGAAACAGCTTTGTCATCTTACCTTGCACTGGCAGAAGCAGCGGAGTTGGCAGCAGCAGTGGCCATTTCAGCCACTCCAGGGGGAGGGCCAACAGGCATAGGAACACCTCCAGCCATCCCTCCAAATCCACCACCTCCACCACCACCACCACCTGCGCCTCCACCACCGCCACCAAATCCGCCATATTGGCTCTGTGCCATTGCATTGTAGGCAGTATCTCCTACTTGATCCATCGCAGCATCGGCAAGTTCTTCGGCTGCATCTTCTAGATCCACCTCATCATCGCCCTTTAGTTTCTTCATGATTTTGGCAACACACTTTGTCAAGAATGCCATGATGGGGGCCAAAATCGGAGCCAAAATGGTACAGCCAAGCTTTTCATAGAACATGTAGAGCAGACTCTCCCGAATGAGTTTCTCGCGACGCTCCTCTGTATTGAGAGAGCTGCAAGAGGCAGACTCACTGTTCACTTCCAAGTCTTCAACAACTCCTCCATCACCAGGATTCTCAACATCCTCAGCATCTCCATCATCATTGCTGCTGGTCTCGTCCTTCTTACTTTCATCCTCCTCATCCTTCCTTCCATCTGAAGCTTCGTCATCAGCATCACCTGCTTCCTCGTAGTCGTCCAATCCCACGTGCGCATCTGGGGCAAACATGACATTTCTCCCACGATGCTCGGGGCTCGCAGCATCAAAGTGCTCGATTTCATCTGCCATATCTGCTTTGTCCCGTTGACTCTCGCTGGCCCAAAACGACTCGTCAGAGTTTTCACTTGCTTCCGCCTCCGCACAACCAAATCTAACTTTCTGCGGATTCGCTTTGGCTGCCTCACCAAGAATGTTCTCAACTTCAATCTCCAACTCATCAAGGTCTGTGCCTCCAGCATCACCAGCAGAAACTTGACCCTCTTCATCGAATTCCTCCTCGACGAGGCTGCTCCTCTTTTCACGCTCCGTTGCGTTTTCGGTAATTCTTTTGGCTTTTTTCTCCGTCACGAAGAACTGGTGGAATTGGCCACGACGATCAACGGGAATATTTCCCCCAGCATCGCCAGCAGCAACTTGACCCTCTTCATCAAATTCCTCCTTGACCAAGCTGCTCCTCTTCTCACGTTCGAATGTGCTTTCCACAATCCTCTTCGCTTCCTCCGTCGTGAAGAATTGGTGGAATTGGTCACGGCGATCAACAGGTATATTTCCTCCTGTATCACCACCAGGAACTTGAACCTCTTCATCGAATTCCTCGACGACAAATTCCTCCTCGACGAGGCTGCTCTCTTTTTCACGCTCCGTAGTGCTTTCGGCAATCCTCTTCCCTTTCTCCTCCGTCACGAAGAGTTGGTGGAATTGGCGGCGGCGATCAACAGGTTTGGTTCCTCCTGTACCAGTATCACCAGCAGCAACTTGACCCTTTTCATCGAATTCCTCGACCAAGCTACTCCACTTCTCACGTTCCAATGTGCTTTCAGCAATCCTCTTGGCTTTCTCGGTCGTGAATAGTTTGCTTTGTCCACGGTGATCAAAAGGTGTGTTCCCTTCAGCATCACCGGGGGCAACTGCTTCTGCCAAAGTCCCGGGGGCTACGAAGCCGTCATCATCTTCTTCGTCGCTGCCCAGGAAGCCTCCAGTAAAGACGTACTTGGTTCCAGTTTCATTGCCAAAATCATCAATGAAGTCTTTGTCATCGCTCCCTCCGCTTGTGCCGCTGCTAGGTTCACTCATCTCTCTAGGAAAATCAATCAAAAACTCGAAAGCTGCTAGTCTCGTAGAATATTCAATCTTCTTCGTCTACCGTACTCGACTCTTGCTGGTCCTCCTGATCGAGTTTTTCAGTTGTATATCTCTTGCAATAAAATAAGAGACAATTCTGAGTTGAGTTGTGACACACAAGTCTCGCCAATCAATCAATCAATCAATCGAATCTTCGATGGACTGTGCTAGGACAAGGGTGTGGTAATGCTACTGCTCTTGGTTGGTTTCTCAAACAGAATCTCAAAATAATAGTCTCACAATAAAACTTATAGGGTAAGCTCACGCTTTTGTCTTGCTTCGTCGCTAAGGGTATTTCAGCTCTGGTCTGAACTGAACAAAGCCTAAAAGATCTCTGTTCAAATACCGTACCGTAATATCAAGCAAAAGCTGAGCGTTGTAGTGATTGTGGCTCTTGTCCGGTTGTTGCGGCTGCTGCATGGGGGTCGGTGGGTGGCGCTGGTCCGACCAGCGCAAGGCGGTGGTTGGTGGCGGCGGTGCGGCTCCTCGCTGGATCCGGAGGTAGGGCGTGGCTTCAATGCCAGATCGTACACAAGAATTTTGAGAATTAAGTGATGCAAGCGACTTTAACTAAAATAATAGCCAAGAATTCTTTGACTGTTTGGTACTAGTACGGAATGAACGGCTTTGAGCTTTGGCACCCTATATTTTAACACCTCTAGAGTATTTTTAATTTACAAGTGTCGGTTTTCTGTACTAATTGTATGGGTACTATTCATCGCTGAGATACGGTATCATCCCACCTAAGACTAAAAGATAGCATGCATAAGTGTCAGATGTGAAAGCAGGGAAGAAAAATAAATGTCAATGGAAATCTTGGGCAAGAAGGCATTAGGGCATTATTGAACAGCACGCGTGTCAACTGGCATCGGAAGCACATCGTTTAGACGCCAAATACGTCAGTTTAGGCGTTGAACTTGGGAGACCAGAAGTTCTCTGGTTCCCATTGGTTGACTGGAAGACACCTTTTAAACATCATGAAGGTAGATGCGGTAAGACAAAAACGTTTTACTGTACATATAGATAACCACTGGGAAATACTTGTCGAGCAGCCGCACGCCAAAGAAGACAAACGATCCCGATCCCTATCCATCCACGCTGACCGGCGTGGAAACCTGAACCCTCATGGGTTCTTCGACGAATGACTCGACTCACAGTTGCC